TTTTGTTTTCATTTTCTTTGGATAAATAATCAGAAGTGGAAATGCTGGATCATATAGTTTGTAATTTTTAATTTTGGGGGAAACCTCTATACTGTTTTCCACAGTGAGTACACCAATTTACATTTCCACCAACAATGCACACAGGTTCCCTTTTCACCATATTCTCACCAACTCTATTTTTGGTCTGGAAAGAGCCATTCTAACAGGTGTGAGGTAATATCTCACTGTAGTTTTGATGTATACTTCCCTGGTTATTAGTAATGTTGAGCATCTTTTCATGTAACTATTGGTCATCTGTATGGTTTCCTTGGAAAAATGTCTATTCAGGTCCTCTGCCTTCTTTTTTAATCAGATTGTTTTTGTTTTGTTATTGAGTTGTAGGAGTTCTTCATATATTTTGGATATCAAACCCTTATCAGATATTCTAATGTGCAACTACCCAAATTATAGAGTGCGCATTTTTCAAAATAAGTCAAATACTGAATTATATTTTACTGAATTATAAACTCATATAAATATATTGGAACACAACTAATTAAAAGAAATCTATGTCTCCACCCAATATATCACATTTGGCTACTTTTCAAATGAAACAGTTATGTAGAATTGGCTATAAGACATTCTATAATAAATGTATCAGGTCTGAGTCTACTGAAAGAGCAGTAAATTACCCACTTTTAGAAGGTATATTAATATTTCAAACACTAGTGCAATATTTCTCAATTTTTCCCAGTTCCCAGCACATATCATGAATTTACAAGGGATAATGGTTGGCACTCACATTTCTTTCCTTTTTCCGTATTCTTTTTAGTCTATTATCTGCATTTTCATATTCTTAATCAAGTAAGAATTTATACCTGCCATGTCCAATTCATTCTGAAAGGTGCTACAGAAAATACAACATAATTAAGCCATCAAAAAAAATACTATAGACTACCGTATGACCCTGCAATCCCACTCCTGGGCATATATCCAGAGAAAAACATGGTCCAAAAGTATACATCCACCCCAATGTTCACTGCAGCACTATTTACAATAGCCAAGACATGGAAGCAACTTAAATGTCCATCAACAGAAGATGGATAAAGAAGATGTGGTACATATATACAATGGAATATTACTCAGCCATTAAAAAGAATAAAATAATGCAATTTGCAGCAAAATGGATGGACCTAGAGATTGTCACACTGAATGAAGTCAGAGAAAGAGAAACATAGTATGATATGCTTATATGCGGAATCTAAAAAGAAATGATACAAATGAACTTATTCACAAAACAGAACAGGCTCACAGATTTAGAGAAGGAACTTATGGTTACGGGGGCAGAGAGGGTGGAGGGAAGGGATAGTTAGGGAGTTTGGAACTGACATCTACACACTGTTATATTTAAAATGGATAACCAACAAGGACCTACTATATAGCACAGGGAACTCTGCTCAATGTTATCTGGCAGCCTGGATGAGAGGGAAGTGTAGGGGAGAATGGATACATGTATATGTATGGCTGAGTCGCTTTGCTGTGCACCTGAAACTATCACAACATTGTTAATCGGCTATACTCCAATATAAAATAAAAAGTTAAAAAATTAGTACACAGTATAAGGGTAAGACATAGACACAAAAATCTCTTGAATCAAGTAAACACAGAGGAATGCCATATAATGTTAAAGACAATATAAATAACTCACATTCAAAAGGAAGTTGAGCGCTCCAGTGCCCAAATTAGATTAGAACTGCATGTGAAAGGTACATTTCCTGGAAGATAATAGGTGCTCAATAAATGTTAGGGAATTTTGTTTTCCCCTTGCTTTCCCTCAGCTGAAAGTTTTGTGAATAAAGGGAGAGCTAAGTATTAAAAGATGGGTAAGATTTGAATAGGCAAAAAGGAATGGAACAGGCATTAATACAGGATATTGTTATGACAAAAGGTACAGAGGCAGGGTGACATATTCTGATTTAATAAACTGTTCCCTCCAGTTGGAAGAGAGGTGTTGGTAATGGAGGAATGGGATATACGTGTGGGAGTCCCATGACCTTTGGTATTTGGGCTTGGAAGTAGCCATCTATATATTTCTACTATCAACTGAATATCTATCAAATGCATATTGAATCTAGAATGAGTGCTGGAAGTTTATCAGGACATTCAGTCCTCTGCTACTCTTTCCTTGCCCAACAGCCCTCTCCAATCTTAATTTCCATAATTATCCTGCATAGATTTCATGGTTTGAACATTCTGATTTCTCTCTTACCAGTACTCTAGATTCCCCTACCCCCTTGTCTTTCCATAGCATCTGCTTGGCAAAACCCCACCTCCAGGTGAACTCAACTGTTCACTTTTTTTTTTAACATCTTTATTGGAGTATAATTGCTTTACAATGGTGTGTTAGTTTCTGCTGTATAACAAAGTGAATCAGCTATACATACACATATATCCCCATATCTCCTCCCTCTTGTGTCTCCCTCCCACCCTCCCTATCCCACCCCTCTAGGTGGTCACAAAGCACCGAGCTGATCTCCCTGTGCCATGTGGCTGCTTCCCACTAGCTATCTATTTTACATTTGGTAGTGTATATATGTCCATGCCACTCTCTCACTTCGTCCCAGCTTACCCTTCCCCCTCCCTGTGTCTTCAAGTCCATTCTCTACATCTGTGTCTTTATTCCTGTCCTGCCCCTAGGTTCTTCAGAACTTTTTGTTTTTGTTAGATTCCATATATATGTGTTAGCATACTGTATTTATTTTTCCCTTTTTGACTTACTTCACTCTGTATGACAGACTCTAGGTCCATCCACCTCACTACAAATAACTCAGTTTCGTTTCTTTTTATGGCTGAGTAATATTCCATTGCATATATGTGCCACATCTTCTTTATCCATGCATCTGTCAACAGACACTTAGGTTGATTCCACGTCCTGGCTATTGTAAATCGTGCTGCAATGAACATTGTGGTACGTGAATCTTTTTGAATTATGGTTTGCTCAGGGTTATGCCCACTAGTGGGATTGCTGGGTCATATGGTAGTTCTATTTGTAGTTTTTTAAGGAACCTCCATACTGTTCTCCATAGTGGCTGTGGAGAACAATCAATCAACTGTTTACTCTTTCCATGAAACTTCACAGGTTTGGTTCAGTGTTGCATGGTGCAGGTGAGAAGTAGCAACCGGGCAATTTGCAATCATAAATCTGTGATCATCACTCTCTGCTGGGCTCTCCAAGCTGGCTGTCAGGGAACCTACCAGGATTCCTTAGCCATGATCATTTCCCATGCTGCTTTAATCTCACTTCCCTCCCCTCAAATCTCTGATAGCTACACTTTACCTTGCACTTCCATCCCATAACCTTTCCCCCTACTCCACGGAGAAAGAGAAGTCATCATAAGGGAGCTTCTCAACTTCTATCTAACCTACCAAATCTACCCTTGTTTTCAACTCTCCGTTTCTCTTCTACTACTGGAAAAATAGCACTATCCATCATTGCATATAAAGCTAAACCCTCGACAAGTACGATGAAATCCATCCTAGTGTTCTCTGGGACGCTAATCTGTAATTAATCTCTCTCGCTTATTAAACCTTCTCATCAGTATTTAAACAGGCTCAAGTCTTATGGTGGGAAAGGGGGAAATCTTCTTTCCAAGACCTCTTTAATCCAATGCCCTATTGCATTTCTACTCTTCGCAGTCAAACTTCCTGAAAAACTTGACAGTACTCACTTTGTTCCCTCACTTCCCACTTCCCCCTTAATTCACTGCAATCTAGTTTTCTCTGCCATGAATTGCTCTACCAGAATAGCTCTCACCAAGATCACCAAAGTCTATGTATGAATAAATTCAGTGTACATTTTCAGTTGTTTTATCACTTGCCTTTCTTCAGCATTTGACACCATAGATTACTTTTTAAAAATAGTCTTCCTGTGGCTTCTATGGTTCTTCACTCTAGTGATTTAGTATAGACCTTTCTGATTGCTCCTTTGCAGTCTCCTTTACAAGTTTCTCTTCTTATCCCTATTCCTTAGAGAGTAAATATCAGCCTTTTTCACTATGCACATTTTCTCTGGGCTATCTTATTTACTCCCAAGATTCTAAAGTCCCCCTAAATCTTTCATCTCAATCTCTTCTATGAACTTCAGACCTATATCTCCAACTACTTCCTGGATGTCTCCAAATGGATATCCATGAGAAACCCAAAGGCAACATAGGCCCCAAACTGAAGTCATTCCCCTCATCCCCCAAGTGGCTTCCCTCTGCAGGTTTCCTGTCTCAGTAAAGGCTGTCATCACCCAGCTAGCCACTCAAACCTGAACTCAAGTTCAAGTTTCTCTCCGTCTCTCTCTCTCTGTCTCTCTCCACACCCACACACACACACACACACACACACACACACACACACACTCAGTCTACCACAAGTTGTACAGAGTCTGATGCTGATTACCACAAGCATCCTATCACCCAGTTCATTTTATCTTTTCAACCATTTCAGTGACCGCAACTGTTCAAAATCATGTAATCTTTATGGATCATTAGTGTAACTAAAATGATCACCTGTGGGGAGGTTTAAAGTTCTGGTTCTTTTTATAGAAGATTGGGAAAAAAATCTAGTAAACGTTTCTCAGTTTCTTCCTCTCATCTTTTTAATGATAGTGTTGGTAAGATGATACCCCCAATTTTCTCACAGTTTTTTGCAGATACACATCATTAATGTTTGATCATGCTGACAAAACTGGGAGAAACACGTTTTCTTTCTGCAAACACACTATTTCTACAGCCGGGGGGGAAATACATGTTATTGCTGCTTGGCTGGCTGGCTGCATCAACTCGATTTCTCTAACAGGCTGAACTAAAACAACCGAATCAATGTTCCAAATATCTGCTGGAATTAAGAGCAATAGTGAGAATGCCACAAGGAAATCTAGCTATTTCCCTGTTAACTACAAATCAACAACAGATCACCTGTGTGAGGCAAACTTCACAAGTGGTATTAAGCTTGTTTTTCATGGTCATACCTACCTCTTCCTCAGTCTCTGCAGAAAGAGGTCCACACGCGGACTTGAAGTTAAAAGCCGTCTTTCCTCTTGGTTAACATGCCTTTGTGGATGATATCAATTATTTCCTACATTCAGGAAAGAGAGTAAAGACAAAAATTAGTAAGACACCATGGTATAGATGCACAACTACATCTATACCTTGTAATGGGTGAGAAACACCCATTACATAGATAGGAACTCCTGTTTGAGACATAAGTTCATATATTTTAATAGTTTTGAGTACAATTTACATTAGGAAATGGCACCAGCTTAGCCAAAAACCCAAGTGTAATCCTCAGTTTTTCTCTTTCCTTCACCTTCCACCTCAGCAAGCCTTGACAGCTCACCTCCAAGCTAAGCTCTAAATCTATCCAATTCTTCCCCTCCCCCTAGCTGCACCCATAATTCAAGCCACCACCCTTTCTCACTGGGTCCACTACAACAGCCCCTGACGGTCTGTGTCCACTTTGACTTCCACTAGAATCTCTTTTCCATACAATCATCAAGTTGATCTTCCTAAAATGTAATTCAGATCATATCATTCCTGTGCATAAAAGCTTTCAGAGAATTTTTCTTTGCCCATAGAGAAAAATACACACCTGACATCCTAAGAGGCCTTCTGTGAGCTGGCCCCTACCTAACCCGAGCTCCCTCTCTGATCTCACCAACTACTCTCCCCATCTCTCTGTGATCCAGCCACGCTTTCCTGTTCCTGAGACCTACCACTTGCTGTTCCCTCTGACTGGGACCCTTTGTTTCCAGATGCTTCATGGCTGTCTCCTTGTCTTCAGCTCTCAGACTCGCTATCACAGGGGCCTCCTCTGGCCACCCCATCTAAATTAACCACCTTCACTATCCATCACATCAAATGTTTCATTGTCTTTATCATACATTCAAAGGTCTGAAACAATCTTGTTCATTTATTCTTTTTGTTTGTTTTCCCATTAGAATGTAATTTCATAAGTGCAGAAACTTTTCTTATATTTCTCATGTTGAATTCCCAGTGGCTAGAACAGGGATTGGCAAACTTTTTCTGTAAAGGACCAGACAGTAAGTGTTTTAGACTTTGTAGGACATGCAGTCTTTGTTGCAACTACCCCAGCTCTGGTTTGTTAGCATAAAAGCAGCTGTAGACCATAGCTAATGGGAGTGTGTCTGTGTTCCATTAAAACTTTATTTCTGAACACTGAAATCTGAATTTCATACAATGTTAACGTTCCACAAAATGTTATTCTTCTTTTGATTTTTTAAATTATTTAAAAACGTGAGGGACTTCCCTGGCGGTCCAGTGGTTAAGACTCCATGCTCCCAATGCAGGGGGCATGGGTTCAATCCCTGGCTGGGGAACTGAGATCCCACATGCCACCACGGCTTGGCCTAAAAATATTTAAAACAAACAAACAACAACAAAATGTGGAAACCATTCGTAGCTCATGGGCTGTGCAAAAACAGGCAGCTGGCCAGATTTGGCCTGCAGGCCGTAGTTTGACCGCCCCTGATCTGGAATGGCTGTTGTTACACATAGAAGGCTTGCAGAAAAGATTAACTGTTTAATGAATAAATGAACAAGGAAATGCATTTTCCTTGTAAACATTAATAGACTTGCCATGGGCCAGGAGTTAATATGATAACCCATTCTACTTCTTCAACCCTCAAGATGGATTTTCTCTATATGCTTGGATGTTTTGATATTTGTTTACGGGAATCAGAATCAGTATACGATGTGAAGTTCTTATAAGAACAGCTTGGACCTTTTGATTACTTGGGGTATAAAAGACCAACTAAATTGGGTTGGGATCTGTATTCAAGATCAAAACTTACACATTTCACTTCAAAAAGCTTAAACCCTACGATGGAAAAAAAAAGGCATTGCTCTTAATATATATACGATGAGTGAAATAAGAGTCATGAGTGAAATAAGAAAACCCTCAAAGATAATTTTAGAAAGATTATTTTTACCTGTTCCTTTAACTCCCTACTTTATATCTTGGGGAAGGTTTCCTAAAGAAAGTAATATTTGAGGAGTTTTAAATTATGGCTTGGACATGGGTCACGTTCACTCTCATTAGGATTGTTTTCTTGTCTATGACCATGTTTCTTGAAACGCTTCTCTTTTAACTATACCCACTCAGCCCAAAAGTTCAAATAAATAAAAGAGATTATACTTCTGTTTCTAAGTTAAGATTAGAACAAACATTAAGTTGAAACAATAAAAGGGAAATAATAAAGGTAAAAATCTTTAAGAAGTTAAAATGACAAATAAAGGATTAATGTTAAGATGTTAATCATTCTCAAAAAAATGATTTCCCCAATAAATCAGATTAAATCCCTCATCAGAGGGAAAACACATACTGTCTTAAGGAAAGGTTTCAACAGCTTCAACAGCTCCTGGCAGCAGAAACTGGGCCGGAACGTTTGGAATGACAGCATGAGTTTGCACAAGCGATCAACTGATAGCTCTAAAGAATATTGAGGTTCTGTTGGAAGTAACGGTTAAACTGGGGGCTGTAACTTACTTTAGAGTAGCCCATCACTGTCTGCTTCTAAATTGTCACGTGTAAAAGTGAATCACAAAGTGGAGAAATTTTGAGAGATTTCTTGGGCTGTCTCTAAGATGTATTTCATAAGTGTCAATCTCACTCTGATTAATAAAGAAAGTGCACAATGTGTGGTGGAGTGCTTATTCTTCTGGAAACTCCAACAGACTATACTAACATTTATAGCCTTTATGAGGAAAGAAGAAGGAAGGAAGAAAGGAAGGGCAGAAGGAAAGATGGGAAGGTGGGTGGAAATGTCCTTTTCTTTGCAATCACTTTCAATCTGGAAAGTGATATGAAGCTTTCTCAATCAACAGTCCTCATCTGGGTGTACTTTTCTAAGCTCATGCTTGAACTACTGAGAGCATCCTCAAGGTTTGCTCACCTTTCATTGAGAATGGAACGTGAGGTATCTGTATGAAAGCCAAGTTCTGAGTAAACCTGAGACGATTTACAGTTTCAGGTGGGAATCAGGTGCTATTCAAGACTAAACTAACTAACTAAACTTGGCAATTTTGCCTGGACTAAACATTTAATGGTACACAAATTATGAGGCATATCAGGAGTGGGGGGAGCTCCATTGCTAGAAAGTGAATTCAACAAGCACACAGTTTAGCTTTGTATACTTCCCACCTGGAACCCAGCCCCATGGCTAAGACATAATGGATACTCAATAAATGTCTGTGTGCCGTGTGGAAATATACCTAACTATAAGGTCGGTACTTTCAGGCTTCTAGAGTTAAAAGCTGACAGTCCCACCTGAATAGCCAAAGCAATCCTGAGAAAGGAACAAAGCTGGAAGCATCACATGCCCTGATTTCAAACTATATTACAAAGCTACAGTAATCAAACCAGTATGGTACTTGAATAAAAACAAACACATAGATCAGTGGAACAGAATAGAGAGCCCAGAAATAAACCCACGCATATATGGTCAATTAATTTATGACAAAGGAGCCAAGAATATACAATGGGGAAAGGACAGTGTCTTCAATAAATGGTGTTGGGAAAACTGGACAGCTACATGCAAAAGAATGAAACTAGACCACTATCTTACACCATACACAAAAATTTACTCAAATGGATTAAAATTTGTATGTAAGACCTGAAACCATAAAACCCTTAGAGGAAAACTTAGATGGTGAGCTCCTTGACATCAGTCTTGGCAATGGTTTTTTGGATTTGACACCAAAAGCAAAGGTAACAAAATCAAAAATAAACAAGTTGGACTACATCAAACTAAAAATCTTCTGCACACTAAAAGAAACCATCAACAAAATGAAAAGGTAACCTACTGAATGGGGGAAAGTACTTCCAGATCATAGCTCTGGTAAGGGGATTAATATCCAAAATATATAAAGAACTCATACACACTAATATGTATAAAATAGATAACTAATAAGAACTTGCTGTATAAAAAATAAAATTAAAATATTCAAAATAAACTAATTTTTAAAAAAATACTCATACAAGTTAATAGCAAAGAAACAAATAATCAGATTAAAAAATGGGCAGAGGATCTGAATAGTCATTTTTTCCAATGAAGACATACAGATGGGCAATAGTCACATGAAAAGATCATCAACATTACTAATCACCAGGGAAATGTAAATCAAAATCTTAATGAGATATTACCTCACTATTTGGCTATTATCAAAAAGACAAAAAATAACCAAGAGTTGATAAGGATGTGGAGAAAAGAGAACCCACGTGCATTATTGGTGGGAATGTAAACTGGTGCAACCACTACAGAAAATAGTATAGAGGTTCCTCAAAAATTTTAAAATAGAAATAACATATGATCCAGCAACTCCACTTCTGGGTACTTATCTGAAGAAAATGAAAAACACTAATTCAAAAAGATATATTGCCCTCCACACCCTGCCATGTTCTTTGCAGCATTGTTTACAATAGCCAAGATATGGAAATAACCTACATATTCCTTAATGTATGAATGGATAAAGAAGATGTGGCATATATATAAAATGGAATATTATTTGGCCATAAAAAAGAATGAAGTCTTGCAATTTTCAGCAACATGGATGGACCTCGAGGGCATTATGTTAAGTGAAATAAGTCAGACAGAGAAAGACAAATACCACATGATCTCTCTTATGTGTGAAATCTAAAAAATAAAATAAAAACCAAGCTCATAGATACAGAGAACAGATTGGTGGTTGCAAGAGGCTGGGGATAGGTGGTGGAAAAAAATGGGTGAATTGGTTTGTTTGGTTTTAGTTTAAATAAGTTGAATAATTTAAAATAATAATAATAATAACATAAAATAAAGACCTAGCTACAAAAATTTAATTAATTAAATTTTAAAGGTCATGGGGGTGTAATGTACAGCATGGTGACTACAGTTAATAATGCTATAATGCATATTTAAAGTTGCTCAGAGAATAAATGTTAAAAGCTTCCATCACAAGAAAAAAAGTTCTGTACATATGTATGGTGATGGATGTTAACTAGACTTACTATGAAGATCACTTGGCGGTATCTATTATACAAATATCAAATCATTATGTTGTACACCTGGAACTAATACA